CTGTAGAAAGAGATTTGCTTCTAAATTTAATATGGAGGTCTACAATCAAAACTAAAATAAGACATGTGTGAACGCTCAGGGCTGGCACACGGGATGTGCTCGATGAAGATCTGCTTCATTTGAATCCGTGCCCAGCCTTCCAAGGTTAGGGAGCCCTCTGATCTCCTGAAAGGCTGCTGGAGTTCACAGTGCAGGGCTGGAATTGGGGATGCACCCCCACAGTGAGCCCTGCCCAGCACACTGGGTGCTGTGGCAAGACAAAGACTCATGCAGCTTCCCCTAAAGGGCTGACGATCTAGAGGGGGAGATCAGAACCCCTGTACACGAAACAAGCATGCCTCGGGCGATGTCTTCAATGGAAAAACCAGATGGAGAACAGAACAATTATCAGAGCAAATCAGGCAAGCCTGCTGTTGAGGAAAAAAGCTTAAGGAAATGTGTTCTGTTTCCTTTTTAAACCAAGGTGTTAGGGAAGACTGGAGAAGCGAAGCCTCTAGAAAACCTAGAGCAGCTCTGATCTCAGGTAAACCATGGGGCAGCTTTTATTTTTAATTAGTTTTCTACTTGTTCTTGATTTATTTTTGTGATGCTGTTATAGAAGCCAGGGCCTGTGCATGCTAGATAAGTGCTCTGCAACTCTTGGCAAGTCCAGCCTCTCTCTTTGTTTTTCTTGTTTTTTTTTTTTTTTTCCTTTTCTTTCAGTTGTGGTGCTTGAGCCCTAGGCCTGGGTACTGTCCCTGAGCTTTTTTGCTCAAGACTAGTTCTCTACCACTTTGAGCCACAGCAACACTCCCCATGGGACAGCTTTTTTTTTTTTTTTTTTTAACCTCTCAGTGTGCTCTTGTAATACCAGCCTTGCCCCAAATCCAATCACTTACTCCAATTGAGTTTTTGCGATATTGGAGCAAACATTTACACCTGGGCAAATGAGTTAGGAAATGGGGGGCAAAATAATCACTCTGTAAACGACAGAAAATGTGCTTCCTAAGAATCTACTACTATTGAAAAGAATGGCTCATAAATGATTATGAAGCTATGTTACTTAAGAATAACATTTGTATAGAATTTTTTTTTTTTTGGTCCAGTCGTGGGCCTGAACTCTGGGCCTGGACGCTGTCCCTCAGCTCTTCAGCTCAAGGCTAGTGCTCTACCACTTGAGCCACAGCGCCACTTCCGGCTTTTTTTTCTGCTTATGTGGTGCTGAGGAATCAAACCCAGGGCCTCATGCATGCGCGCTCTACCACTGAGCCACCTTCCCAGCCCCATGTATAGAATTTTATCATCTCTAAGCCCTCCTCCTCCCTCTCTCTCTACCTCTCCTTCTCCCTTTCTTTCTCTCCCCCTCTTTTTCCTTCCCCCTCCCCCTTCCCTTCTCTTCCTTCTCCTTCTCCTTTCTCCTTCTCCTTCTCCTTCTCTATCTCCATTCTAGGTCTTGAACTCAGGGTCTAGGCATTGTCTCTGATAATTTTTTATCAAGATTAATGCTCTACTACTTGAGCCACAGCTCCACTTTGTGTGTGTGTGTGTGTGTGTGTGTGTGTGTGTGTGTGTGTGTGTGTGTGTGTGTGTGTGTGTGTGTGGTTAGAGATAATAGTCTCACAGACTTTCCTGCCCAGGTTGGCTTCAAACCATCCTCACATCTCAGCTTCCTGAATAGCAGATTATAGGTATAAGCCTCCAGTGCCTGGCTGGCTTTTATTATTTTTCAGTTTTTTGAAAACCTGTATAGCTCCTTTTGACATTTCAGGTTACAAAGTCTGAGAGATCCACTGAGGCTCGTTCATGTGTGATTTGGTGGGGTTTCCTTATGAGGGTCAGCGATAGGCTCTCTGGTTCTCTAGTTCTTTCTAGTGCTGCTTTCCCATGAAAATCTTTATCTCCAAACCATTAATATTTTAGCATAAATGTTCACAGTATTTTAAGTATGTTTCCTTTTGAGCAGGAACACACACACACACACACACACACACACACACACACACACACACACACACACACAAAGGCTAGCCCAAGTTTACTCTTCTTTTGAGGGAATGGTAGCCATCCCTATCTGATTTACATTTCATGCCATACAGCAGGAAATAGTTAAGTTGACAAATAGGATATTTACAACTACAACAGCTACTTGGCAGTTAGTTTTTAACAATTGTTGCAAATGTGATTTATTTGCTATTATAAAAGGGCATTACTGTGCGAATATGATCCTGAAATTAGCTTCAGTTTAGCAAAGGGGCCTTGACAGCTTGACCCCCCTAATATCCTTCTAATGACGCTATTTACATTCAATGCTTACTCAAGTCCCTCCCTGCTCGATTTGTCTGAGAGTCCACTCTAAGGCAGATGCATTATGTATTTTAACATAGCGAGTTGGTGAGTGGGGCACTTGTAGACCTTCTTAGAAAGAAAAAAAAAATTCAATCAAGTCTTCATGAAAATGTGTTAGTTTCCAACTTCCTACAGTGAAAAGGCATTACTGCTAATTACAGCACACTCCAGAAATACAATACTTCATGTTTTCTCCACAAGACATTTCCAGGGCATGGATTATACGAAACAAGAACATGTTCTGATCCACTGCAACTTTAGCTTCTAATTTGACCAGGGCATTACTAGAAGATCAGCGTCAGCCTCTCTGGCAGGAGCTGGAAGGTGGACTTGGAACCAGGCAGAGTTGGGTTCAAATCCCTGGGCCCTGTGCTCACCTTAATTCTGTAATGTGGGCTGTGGGTTTTGAGGTGGTTACAACTGTGAGAGATGTTTGTGAAGCACCTGACTTATCGGAGGTTCTTGATACCTCGGATCCAGTTGTGGTCTGACTGCTTGCTTAAAGCTCAGAAATGTCACCTTCGGGAGGTAGCCCTGATCTCACTAGGCAAATTCAGCCTGTCTTTTCTGCTTCAGCCACGTTTCCTTCCATCCTACTGTGAGATTACATATTACATCGTAATTGTTTCCCTCCATCTCACTGTTACATTACATATTACATTATTATCAGCTGAATACACATGTATCTGGCTTTACCTTTGACCCCCAAGGATTAGCAGCGGCACGTCTTGAGCATTGAACCTAGGAAGATTCTAGGGGTGTTTCTGTCCTCAGTGTAGAGGTAGAAAATGACAAGGACAACTAAAGTCAATCCAGCATAAGAGAAAGAAGAGATAGCTTATGATCTACCTTTATTGTTGCCAATTAATTACGTTGTAGCTGTTCAGTAAATATTTGTCAGAGAAAATAATGAACATCACTCAGTTACCCAGTAGTGGACAGTAATGTATAACTAACGTTTATTTTTCTGTGTGTTTACTGGTCCTGGGGCTTGGTCTCGGGGCCTGGTCTCTGTTCCTGACCTTTCAGCTCAAGGCTAGTGCTCTACTACTTGAGCCACAGCTCCACTTTTGGCTTTTTGGAGGTTAATTGGAGTTAAGAGTCTCGTGGACTTTCCTGCCCAGACTGGTTTTGAACTGCAAATCCTCCAATATCAGCCTTCTGAATAGCTAGGATTACAGCTGTAGGCCACTGGTACTTAGCAACATGTATTCTTTTAAGCACTTTTAATTTTTATTGCATCATAGTGTTTTTCTAATTAACCTGTAACAGAGCATTCTCACTGACTGATAGCTAAGTGTGCTGTGACATGTTAGTAGTAAAGTGAAATCCTGTACTCGCCTAGCAAGCTAAGACTTACAGGCCACCGGTATATTTCCCTTAAGTGTCATATTGAGATTCCCGGAGAGACCAGCATTGCTTTTTTCCAAGTCAAGACAAACTACCTCATTCATTTTCACTCACCCTTCACTATTCACTTTAGTTCTCCACCCTCTGAAGCTCCTGTCCTGTCTCATTTTCTCAGTAGAAGCCAATGCACTGATACCTCTGAAATGACAAATCACCAGCAGAAAAATCAAAGTCAACATGAACCTTTCAAGAGCCAACATTTCTGTTAAAATTTTTTAACCTATTTATTATTTTTTAAAAAATAAGTCTATTTGAAAGTGAAAGGAAAACTGTGAAAATAAGTAGTTAAGACCAACCATCTGGAGAGGGGCCCCAAAGAGGAGCCCAATGGAGTCCTCCAGAGAGTGGTTTTTATAGTCCAGGCTCCACCCATAGCCCCTCCCCTTTGCACTGATTGCTTGATGGCGCACACATGCACCACCCTAGCTCTTTCCATTGGTTGAGTGGGCACCTAGGGCATTATGCAAACAAGAAACATTTGTAGCCAGGCACCAGCGGCTCACACTAGTCATCCTAGCTACTCAGGAGGCTGAGATCTGAGGATCTTGGTTCAAAGCCAGCCTGGGCAGGAAAGTCCGTGAAACTCTTATCTCCAATAAACCACTAGAAAACTGAAAATGGCACTGTAGCTCAAGAGGCAGAGCCCTAGCCTCGTACTGAAGAGCTGAGGGACAGCGCCCAGGCCCAGAGTTCAAGCCCCACAACCGACAAAAATGAAAATGAATAACCAGAAACAAAAACAAGAAGCATTTGTGTGGGAGCTCATATTGTAAGAAGAAGAAGTAATTGAGCAGGAGCCCCAGACACTATGGGAAGCAGAATCTCCACGTCGGGTGGGACGCATGTTATCTGTCACCTGCACCGTCTACCACTTTTCCCCCTCTATCTAACAGTTCCCCCTTCTTTCCTTCACTTACCTCTCTTGGATGGAAACCCTAACTGCTATTAGGAAACAGGGGTGATGACCTTTCCGTGAAAGGCAGAATGGGGTACAGCAATCTGGGATCCTACAGGAAGGGTCTTTTAGACAGGCATTGGTTTATGTGTTCATTCCCTTAACCTTAAATGTTCTGATTAAAACCAGGCTTCATCCTTCAGCTGAACAAGCAAAAGCAGAAGCAAAGATATCCACTCCATAAAGTCCCAAAGCTGTTGGTTTGGCTTGGCCTGTTGTGGTTTTGTCTGGTTGAGGTGTGGAGGGTGCAAAGGGATTTCTTTTTCTTGTCTGCTTCCTAATCACGTCCTCACTTCCTTTTTTTAATCAGTTATGGGCAACAGACCTCAGCCTCACTTACAGTGACCAGTTGGCTCTGACACAGCTCACTCTGTACCTGACAAATGGCAACCTGGATTGCAATTTGGGCACCTTCGAAGTGCCCTGCTCAATCCCGAAAGACAAGGGAAAACTGGAGTCCAATCCCCTTCTGTCAACACTGGTAAGCAACAGATACTTCCTGACTGTTCTGAATTTTCCTGATTGTTCTGCAGTGCTCAGCCACCACATGCTTGTTAGGTTTTTAAAAAGAAATAGCCGAGTAAGAACAGCAGCACCTCGGTTCGAATCCGAGTCACGGCACCATTTATGTTAGGTTTTTAAAAAGAGTTGGCCGAGTAAGAACAGCACCACGCACGTGGTATTCAGGTAAGGGGTAGGTTTATTCAGTAGACCTGCTGGGACCAGGCAAGATTGGCATTCCACGCGGCTGGTGGAGCGTCTGGCCCCGGGTTAGGCTTTATATAGGGTAGGGGGCGGGGGAAAGGTGTGTCCAGGTAAAGGGAAGTGGGATCAGGTGGGAGAAAGGTGTGGCCACATCAGATTAAGATGTGACCTCAGCGGATGCAGGTGTGACCTCTTCCAGGTGTCCCAGTTGCCTAGGTAACGCAGGTACTGGGCGAGGTCTGTTCGCCGTCCAGGAATGGGCCTTTACAATGCTGAGCTCAGTCTGTTTGCCAGGCTCTTGAATAGAAGAAGAAGAAAAAAAAATGAAACCGGGTTTTTAGGCTCCAGGCCCAAAGTCCAAGAGTCCCACAATAGGTCTGGCCACTCACCCTCAAATGCAAAAAAAAAAAAAAAAGACATAGTGGAAGGCAGGAAGGAGGCCATAGGAGGACAGCACTCAGTACTTCTTCCACCATCTTCAGGAGTTCAGGTATTGACTTAGGTTAAATAGGGAGAACTTAGAGAAAGGGTGAGAAAGGTATGCAGAGTAAATAGGCCCAAGTCACCAGTATGGCCTAGTTGGCCATTAGTTCAGTCTCTTATCTCTGGAGGAGTTCTAGAGAATTAATTTATCATTTCACCACTAGAACAGAACAGGAACCAGCTACCTAACAAATGGTCTCCTGAGTTCTGAGCTGTTTCCTTTCAGATAATAAGAAGATGATATTGTCTGTTTGAGGTGCAGTTTGCCTTCTGTCACAGGATACTTATTGGTGAATCCTATTCTTCCAAAAGCCCAAGGATTACAAAGGGACTGCACAGAGGATAACTCAAATCCAAGGGCACAGGGATAAAATGGGGAATAGGGCAGAGTGTCCATCAGCTTTTAATTTATAAGGGCAACAAAAAACATGTTTTAGGCTGCTGCTTACAAACACTAGGCAAGTCACAGAACTGCTCTGAAACTAGTTCCAGACATGTGAAGGTCTTGGCCAAAGGAGAGGGAAGAGGTCCTCCAGGAGGAAGAGGAAGCAGTATGTGGAAGTGCCAGGTTTCTCTTTGGGTCCTCCCTTCTCCACTGGCCAAGTCTTTTTGCTTATTCCCATGCGGAAGTAAATGTAAATGGCTTCCTTGACTCTCTTTCTGACAGTCACCATATTTTTCTAGCCCCAAGTGCTTTGAGTTTCAGACTTCTAGATCCAATATTCTACAGAATTCCCCTGCTTGAAGTTGTCATGGGGAACTACTCAAATCTACCTTTCTGGCCCCTATGCTTGCCTTGTGGGAGATCAGGCCAGTGTCTGATAAGATATACCTTAGCCCATTCTCAGTGGGCAGCTGGTCACACAGATTCTAGCTGAGGTTTCCCCTCCGTCCAGGAAGATCTGTCTTCATTTCTGCTTCCATCACCCTCACACTAGTATTCTCATAGCTCCTGGGTATGACCCCCTGCCTCCTGCCTCCCCTTCAGCCTAAATAAACACTGCAGTCAAGACCATCAGGCCAAAAGCAAATCTATGCTGTTCCCCTCCTTGGGATTTCTATGCTGGCTCCATTCACCGTCAGGAAACACCCAACTTTCCATCTTGATCAAGGATGCCTCTAGTGATCTGCCTCATTCTGCAGCCACAGCCTCCCTTTCAGTCACTGGTCCTGTGCCAAGTGTGACTGGGACCAGACATTCTAGGCCCCTGGGTTAGAAAGGCTAAGTCTCTGGGAAGGTGGGTGCTTGGTCAAACAAGGTGGTCATGGAGAGAAAGAACAAAGGTCAAGAGGACCAGATGGCCCTTGGAGCAAGTGAATTGGGTTCTCTGCCACATTGTTCTGATGGCAGACAAAGGGCTTCTGCTGCTGCCTTCTACAATAGTAGGTTATGTTCCCTTTTGTGTGTGTGTGTGTGTGTGTGTGTGTGTGTGTGTGTGTGTGTGTACTAGAACTGGGGCTTGAACTCAGGAACTAATAACCTCTTACTTGGCTTTTTTTCACTCAAGGCTGGCACTCTACCACTTGAGCTACAACTCCACTTTTGGCTTTTTGCTAGTTAATTGGAGATAATAGTCTCACAGACTTTTTGTCTTGCTGAGGGTAGCTTTGAACTATGATCAGATCTCAGCCTCCTCAGTACATAGGATTACAGGTGTGATCCACTGGTGGCTGGTCTGTGAACCCTTTCTGCAAAGAAGTTCTACTTGAAATCCAAATATATTAGAGATAAAAGAGGACACATTCTAATATTCTACACACATTTTTCCAGAGAGTTTTCTCCAGCCTCTACTGGGCCTTTCCAGGACCCTGGAGGGTCCTGGGTTTAAAGGGCCTGTTTGACAAGGTCTCCACAGTCCTCCAACAGAGGGTACCTGATGCCTTGTATGTTCATGCAGCTACTTTGCTTACCTCTTCCTCAATCCAGTTGTCCTGTGAGGCACCAGGTAGGATGTGGCTCATGGGATCCCCTCCATTTCTGTTTATTGAGGAGCAGAGTTAGACTGGGCAGAAGAAACAGACTTCTTTTAATCAACCCCAGGACATTGCTGAGAATCTCCCAGGACCATCTCTACCTGTGGCCCCTATCTTCATCCACAGGATCTGCAGGAGCCTAGGTTCAATGCTGGAGGAAGAGACAGCAGTAAAGTTTGAAGCCTCATGGCTAAGAAACCAGCTGCATGTCCTGTCTTAAGGGGACCTGGAAGCTGACTTAGCATTCAGCATAAGCCTTGTAAAGATAATCTGCTGCATTCACATGCAGACTTTTAGAAAGCCCTCTCAGAAGCAGTGCTTGGAATTAGAAGCACTCTCCCATTCACCTCATCTTGCTTCTGGGTTTCATTCCTAGCTATAGGCCACATACAGGACATCTCCGGTGATCAAGAATGTTTAAACAGGAAGTGGAGCTGTGGCTCAAGTGGTCGAGCGCTTGCCTTGAGCTGAAGAGTGCAGGGATAGTGCCCAGGCCCAGAGTTCAAGCCCCACAACCAACCAAAAAAAAAAAAAAAAAAAAGATACGTTTAAACAGCTGGGTGCTGGTGGCTCACACCCATAATCTTAGCTACTCAGGAGTCTGAGATCTAAAGATCCCAGTTTGAAGCCTGTCCAGGCAGAAAAAATCTGTGAGACTCTTATCTCCAATTAATCACCAAAAAGCCAGAAGTGGATCTGGGGCTGAAGTGGTAGAGCTGCAACATGGAGCAAAAAGCTAAGGGTCAGTACCCAGGGCCTGAGTTCAAGCCCTAGTATCCGCACAAAAATAGATAAGTAAATAGTGTTCTGCCACAATTAACATAAAGCATCACCTTTTTCTATCATTTTTACTCTTCCCCACTTCCTGGACCCTCCAACCCATGGCTGGTGAGTGGCCAAAAGGAACATCTTTGCTAACACCTTAAAACAACCCCCATTTAATCCCCATTTTAACAGACCATGATCTGTAATGAATGATTAAGTAAAACCTTTTGTGTTAAATTATGATTTTAATAATGATTCCGTCTCCTGTAATTTATTACAAATTCTCAAATGCTTCGGGTTTGATTTTGATAGAATGCAACAACAACAGAGTTTATGCGATGACTTTATTTTTAGAACTCCTTCTTTTGAAGACGCACAACCCCCCCCCCCCAACTGCTGCTACTGTAATTATGTACAAAACCGATCACTCATTAGAGTTAGGATACATTATCTTCTAGACAGATGAGGCTAAATAAGCAACACATTAATAATTCAGAGAGCAGTTCATTATGCATGTGGATGCCTGCTTCGTAACTGAAATAAGAACCTCATCAACCTCTGCCAACCCTTAAACAATAGTTCTGTGTTATTGCAGCCACATTCCAGTTTACGCTTGTTAAACTGCTACTTGGATTATTTTATCAAACATTCATTTATTTGTTGTCCCTTACTGCCGAGAACAGATTTTGGAAGCTCCTTTTTTAAGTTAATGATTTGAGCAATGGGTGTTATTAATTCTCAGAATATTATAAACATGATTAATTTTCAGGCAGAGATTTATTACATAAGGATTTCAACTATGTCAACTGAAATGCATCACTGTCAAAACAAGTATCATGGCGAAAATAGAATATGCTCCACACTTCAAGTGCTGGTGCTCAGAACTAAATCAATTTAAATTGTGGCTGAAGCAAAATTATATTCTCCAGTGAAAAGGAGTATTTCCAGCTTCCTTTATTTAGCTTGAAGCATTCTTGTTAGATTGTGATTTAGAAAGGTAGTTTAATAAGACTAGACTTCTACCAGTGTTTTGTGTTTTATTTCTTCCTGTTTTAGTGGGGAAAGCTCACTCCTGAAACTTCTGCACATTCCAGATGTGGCCAGGGGGGGATCTGGACTGAAGAGCACTGGTCTGGGTGTCATAGATCATGGATTCTGGTTCCTTTGTAAAATACAAAGGAGGACAAAATGATCTCCTAAGCCATTTGATTTTTATGGGGCTGGAGGAACAGGGCTCTCTGCACCAGGCCTGGCCAGGCAGCTTCATGTATTGAGGAAGGCTAAGGGTTAGAACACCTCCAGTGATGGACACAGGAAAGGCCCATGCTTCCACACTGCAGCTTCTCTCAAGAAGTCTTTTATTGCTGGGTGTCGGTGGCTCATGCCCATAAGTCTAGATACAGAGGAGACTGAGACCTGAGGATTGAGGTTAGAAGCCAATCTATGCAGGAAAGTCTATCAGACTTGTATTGCCAATTAACCAGCAAAAATCTGGAAGTGAGGGTGTGGCTCAAGTGGTAGAGTGCCAGCCTCCCGTAAAATAGCTAAAGGACA